ACAACATGGAGTAAGAATACGAGTCCGTTCCTTTCGTACGTTATGTTACTTTATTTGTGTAAAACCTGTTCAAAGATTTAGCGTAGAACATAAAACCGTTAAGTGTTAAAGTCTCAGTCTAGTTGTTTGTATGGAAAACGTTTTGGAGTAACGAATGGCATCATACCTAGGATTAGCAAAGTCGAGTTTGAATTATGTAATGCATTTGTATTGTGATACAGAACAATCAAATTCCTTAACGAACCCATTTGTATATAACTCGTCAACAAGCCTACAGAACCTTTCTTCAAGCCATATAACCTTACCTTTGTAATGTACGTTTCGAACAATTATGTATGACGTCAGCAACTGAATTCTATGAACTTAAGCTAGAACACTATAATGGAAAATAAAAACTAAAGGCGAGTTTAAATAATTGTTTGATTTTAAGATGAGATAGTCGAAGCAGGATATCGAGAATGGCTGGAGTGAAACAGAGCGTGTCAAACAGCTCATAAAACGATTGTGATTGGGCTAGAAGTAGAATGTACAGGTCATATTTAAATATCTGTTCACCAACGAAATTTCTGCACCAAAGTAACGGTGAATCATCAGACAAAATATTATTTTACCAACATTTTTATGTTTATCTTCAACATGAAAAGAAACTGCCTATTATGGTAAGAAATAGACAAAACGTTGATTAAGATGATATACCAGGGCTTTCTTAATATTAATATCACGCACGGAAGAAAATATAGACAATATATTTAATGTAAACGGTATTTCTAAGTCTTTAATAATATCCATATCACTCACAGGCGGAAATAGACGAATCGATTAACGTAAACAAAACACTAATGCTTTAGTAATATAAGTATTAATCACGAAAAGAAATAGACAAAATCGTTCATTTAAACGGTATATCAAAGAATTTAATAATTTCTCCGAAAGGAGGCCAAAGACCGCCTGGAGGGGTCACCTGTTTTAACCACTCGCCCTACTGTACAGTATTGTGTTGTCTTGTCAGTCAGTAAGTAAACACTAAAATGACGTCACATATGGGAGGCTTAGCGTTTCAATTTGTACTGTCGTGCATGTCATGAATCACGAGAGGAATTATGCACCATGTAGGCTACAACGCAACATGATATATGAACTTCAAAAGCCAGAAGTAAACATATTTGTTACTCTTAATTTTGGATTTAATTACTCTCTTTTGTGATCCCACGATAATTAAAAATACATGGTTGTTGAAAGATAGGCTCTTAAGGCGTTTATTACTCAACATTAAGTTTCTTATGCTAACTCTCCTCATTTATGATACATAAATATATATTCTAGAAAAAAAAACATTTTTAATAATTTCTCTATGTATGCTGCATATCATAGTTGATGTCTAAGTCAAACATTTTTGGTTTCAGAGCTAAGCAACTGCTCTGTTGTACAAAGAGCTTGATTTCTGATATGGATTATTTATCATTCTCATCATTAGTATCCTATACAATCACTCACGTCTAATAATCAATTAGTTACTATTTTTCTATATTAGGTTATAGTTATCTATTAGCATACACTATATTTCCGCTGTTGATATGCATTTTATGCTGATAGAGTCCGAGGTTCGACCCTGAGCCTTCTCGTTTCAGTTGATTGAATTTTATGATATTCCACAGTTCTTTGTTTATTTGTTTGAAGTTAAGCACAAAGCTACACAATGGGCTATCTACGCTCTGCCCACCATGGGTATCGAAAACCAGTTTCTAGCATTGTAAGTCCGTAGACATACCGATGTGCTTGCTACTGGGTGGCAATATTTCCCAGAAATACTTTTTACTTTATGCTTCAATCGGGACGACAAAATAGGGCTTTGGTTTTGCAGTTACAAGTTCCAAAATCTCCTTTATTCCTATATACCAGGGCTAGTATACAGGTTTGTCTGTAAATATTAATCATTCCTGAAACTTGTCATATGTAATATGATAATGGTTCAAAGTTCACGTGAATTAATTTTGAATAAGTGTTAAAACTAAAATATTCAAACTTGTTCTACGAATTTTAATTTTTAACACTTCGAGCGACACGCTTTGAATAAAACGTTATTTATATCGGGTGTTATCTAATTTTTGCTCTCTGGATTTCGGAGCTGGCGAGCCAGGTTTGAATCAATGCGATACCTTAAAATATTCCCCTCACTTTAAGTTGTGGGTGCATTATAAGAGTGACAGTCAATCCCTTAGTGTGGACGGCAGAATGTTGTTGACTGTCTTGGCTGCCTTTACTCTGGTCAGCAAGTACTTTAAAATTAGGAATGTCTTTGTGCTAACTTCGATGACGAGGAACCCACTTTGAGATTAATAATGGCTGGAGACGGCTTAAATGGGTAATGAAGAAAAACTTTAATATAAGTTTAACATAACAGCAAATGTACAACGTTTCGACAAGGTTTAGTTTCTTTACATAATTAGGGCACCATACGTTGGCCTGCCAGATAAATTACATTGCTAATCATAAGCAGACACATTGATTGTTTGGATGTGTTTTTTAACACACGTTGACACATTTGCCATTAAGTTATCTGCTATGATTAATAGAATATGTAACATTTTCTGTTATGATATTGGCTATGATTACTATTTTCTATTAGGCTAAGGAGATAGATAGATAATGAAACTTTTAATCAAATATATTGATCATTAGACGTTGGAGCTGCTAGTGTTGGATTAAAGGTATGATTGTCCTTGGCTGATATATTTACTGTATGTTATAACAACAAATCATTCATTATAATTGAACAAGATTAAACAGAACATTGCAGTTAGGAATCACAAGGTAGGATACTTCTCAAGCCTTGTGTACATGTGTTAGTTCCATTTCTGCATCTCTTGGGAGTAAGACTGAACCCAAGACCTCTCTCTACAATAATGCTTGGAGACGGCTTGAATGGGTAATGAAGAAAAACTTTAATATAAGTTCAACATAACAGCAAATGTACAACGTTTCGACAAGGTTTTGTCATCATCAGGTACAAGTAGTTTACACTGACACAGATATATATATATATATATATATATATATACAGTA